TGAGGCCCGTAGATATCTACATCTATCCTCGATTAAGAACCAAAATGCTGATGCGTTGTTGTTATGAGGACTATGATGGAATGCCACGTTTCTAGTAAAAAGGGTCACCTGTTCTTCAACACTAACTATACGAAACACAGCTTTAGGATTGCGTGATTACCACGTGGTGAAGGCGTATAAGAATTCTGAACCCCATTTCATCCATGGGTGTCGTAAACCGCTAATATTGAAAAGGTCTAAAAGCTCTATGGGCTCTGACAGATAGCAGTGTACCATCTCACATGTACCAGATGTAATCTCAGAACGGTAAAGAAGATCAGCCTTAAAGATGCGAGACATCTATTTCTACGATCGCCAGTCCAACTGCCAAGCGTGTTAGCTTAACTTCATAACTTATTACAGGGTGAACTGATTTCGATGATTCTTTGAAAGTACTTCTCGTGTGGTCCCATATGAATTTGATCAAGGTCAGACCAATAGTTCTTGAGTTATTCTTAATAACTTATATTGAAATCGGCTGTACAAAATTTTTAATTTTTAATTATTTTTGGCTACATTGCCTTATTTTTGTTCTTTTTTTGTTAGTATTTATCCCATAGTTCGTTTGTTTAATTATGAAGTCAAAGAGTATTAATAAAATAAAATTCATTATTTATTTACATTAAAACCTAATTACATTAAAACCTTAATCTTTTGTGGAAATAATTTGTTGAATCAACCCTGCATCAGATCGCGGGGTTGGTAGGCGTGGAACGTAGATGGTGCGATCGACGTGGATTCCATTTACCTGCCCCGCATCGCAAACAATGAACTAGTAGAACTCGATGTTTCAGTAAGAAGGAACAAAGTAAATTCTAAGGCCGCTTATTTAAGTATGGATATACGGAATATTGATGTACACTTAGTCCTTTTAAAAACGAAAACCTCCTTTACACAAACAACTTGCATTAAATTAATGTATCATAATAATTAAGGAACTCTTCTGGCAAAAGTTGAAGCTAATGAAGGGGCATATCATCGGTAAAAAAGGCAAATTAGTTTACTATAGTCTATGAAAAGGTTTTATTATTTTACATTTAATTTTTTAAATTGCAGATCTAAACATTACGAATGTAAGAATGTAAGGCCAAGTACGTTAAGTAAGCAACCGTACATTTTTCTTCTTAATCTCTTTTCTAGCACAGTTGTGTGAGGTTATATCATGTGAGTTAGACTGTCTTACGTAAAGACAATGACCGAAACTGACTTAAAACGTATATTCTTGTAATTATATAGCGAACAGGTGTTGAGATTTGAGAAGACTAGAAATTAACGTAGTCAGTAGTTATATAGCAGTAAAGTTACTGAAGAAATAAAGTCATTAATCTTATAATTTTAATAATCAGCTTTTGTAACATGAATTCGATAAATTTCTTTATTATTTTATTTTTTATTTTATTCCAGTATTCAGTATTCTTTTTCTAAAGTTACAGGTGGTTAATATAATATTTAAATGAGATGTTAAATATCCTATAGAGCCTAGGTTGCTCGCGTAATGTAAATTTCACAGTACGCGAGCAACCTATGTTCGATCCACGCCGGCTCCAATGAAATTGATAAATGCAATTTTAAGTGCTGATTTACCACGTACTAGGCGGCGAAGGAAAACATCGTAAGGAAACCTACATGTCTCAGAAATAAGATTTTGTTTTTTATTTCGAAGTCATGTGACCTTCGCTAACACGCAATGAGGCAGTGCGGTGGACATTTCCTTGCCCTAAAACCCTCTCCGAAATTATTGGAGGCCTGTAAAAATAATCCCTTCTATCCCTCTTAGTACATAGATTACGTTACTTCTATCTTAAAAATGACCACAATTGATCTTTCAGTCTTTTGAGGGACTCTGTAGGCTTCAATGGTGACAATAAATAGACATTCTTCCGACATGTTAAAAGTGTTTAAATAAAATCTATAACCCTGCTGTAGCTGTGGGCTTGTGGAACGTCCTACCTATACCTACCTACATCGGATGTTCTAATATTGCCCATTATACTCAGACGTTCCGTTCTATTCTTTGAACTAAAATCTTCTATTTTTCCTAGACTAAAATTATTTTGTGATTTTTATAAATGTTTAGTTAATTACACCCAACTGTTCTTCATTCCATATATTATAATAGTTCCTTGTGTAAAATATTTTATAATGTCTTTTTATTGTTTGCTACAGTGAACGAGACTGGTTAATTGATTGGATCTTCCCAGCTTGAACTTCAGTGTCTATCTACAATGTTAAATACATTCGTAAATTTATTTTTCTTACATAAAAATGTCCGTATCCGCTCGTTTTTGGTGTCCTTGACCTCTGAAATCCACCTGCACCAAACTTGACCTTAAATCGGGCTAATCAACTAAATCGCCACAAACGGTCCGGCTCGGATGAGGGCGGTGGGGCACTGCCCGTGATTTAATACCGCACACGCTAATTATGGCTTGTTCAAATTGTAGCTTTCTCACGGATTACAGGAGGCCGGACGCACCTTTTACGGGTTATAATATAGGTACATATTTTTATTTACGTTTTTGTATTTTAAAACCAGCCTACCTACGAAAGGCTGGCCTAAAAATGATACAATAGCAACTTTGTTTTTTTTACTAAATTATTATAGAAGATTAACTTCGTTACTAGTAATAACAACGAACATATTTGACTTGATACATGATAGTGTCACTAGCAGCTCTATTATGACTACAGCATGATCGGCTCGATCAGGAACGTTCGTCATAAAAATGAGCTTAAACGGTAAGACAAATAAGAATTTTTTTTGTGGTAGAGTCTCGCTGTAGACATGCTTTAATAGAATTCGAGCGTAAAATACCATAATGCTGCTGTGTTTTGCAGTGTAGTGAGCAGAATCGGAGACCTTTCAGACAAAGCGAATTTAATCCTCAAGGATGATAACATAATGTCTACATTTTTATTTTAATCTTGGATAGATGTAAGTTTCTAAAGATCACCAGCATTTACTTAACATGAGGTAAATCATTTTTTTGCTACTTATATAAAAATACTTGATTGTCACAAACTAAATTCCGCTATCTCATCACTGACAGTAAAACTATTTTTTAAAGAATACTGGTAACGTTACTAACAATACTAATATAACCTGTTCACTCATCAAAGTAAGCTTAAAATGCTTGTATTAGTGGATTTGAAGTTTATTTTTTAAATTCGACTTTTTATACCTTGTAGTTAACGCGTGAATATCTTCACGCGTTAACGACACTACTTAACAAATTATAACATACACAAAACACTTACATACACATAAACACATACATGCACCCACACATTTGTCATATTACTTAGTCATTACCACATATTATTATACATTTTTTTAATATTAAATTTTTTAATGTTTATCTTTAATTTAAATTAATAATTTATTTAAACTGTTTTTTGTCAACTTTAAATTAAATAAAGTAGAATATAAACTACGAATATTTAAATTAAATTGAAATTTATAATTAACGTTAATATTGTTTGTGCATAATGTATGGAAGAGACTAGCTCCTGACATACAGGATTCCTAGTTCAGGAGCTAGGGCTCAATCGGAACAAGTGTAACATTTATTTGAATTCTAATAAAAATTTAAAAAAATTAAAAAAGTTATAAAAAAATTTAAAAAATATTATAAAAAATATTTATAATAATTATTATTTTTATTAATTTTTTTTTAAATTAAATTCGTCTTTCTGAGTTGGCAGTCTGCACCTTTAATCTTTAAGCTACTTTCGCTTGCATTGTAAGACAATGTGATTTAACAATGATTCTAATATAACATGAAAAATTTAGGTGCGATAAAAACATTGTCTATTTTTAAAGGTCTTATAATATGTCTCTATGATCTCATGACCTGCTGAGGAATGCTGGGTGTCGATGGGTGCGGATGGTTCAGTTGGTATTTTATTTTATTATTTTTAGCATGGGGATTATGTAGACCTATGATGATAGTGATGGTCATGTTATTCATGAAAACAATTCAAAGAAAAAGGTAAAATTGATCAGTGTTTGGCAAAATTTACTAAATTTAATTTACTACTTTAAGGGTTTAAATAGCTAAAATAAAAAAAAACCGTTGCTAACTCGTTTAATACACTATGACAAATATCCCCCCTATGAAGCTATTTAAGTGGGAGGCCTATGTTCTTTGGGACGGCTCCGTGGGGTAGTAGGCTTAGGAATCAGTTCCAGCGCTGGGGGCCGCGGGTTCTAATCCCGCACGGAACAAGTATTTTTGTACGGCCTACAAATAATTGTTCCGGGTTTGGATGTTTGTCCTTGTGCAATTTATGTTTGTAAACTGCCTCCACGATACAGGAATCCTATCCTATCCTATCCTATCCTAGTATGGGGTTTTTTTTTTGAATTAAAAGAAATAAAAATACTATTTTTTATTCATTATCGTTTTCATAGCAGCCCATAATAAGTCGACTGTAGAAATCAGGTATTTTCCAAAAAATTAAACTAAGTACGACACTGTACCACCTGCATCCATTATCTATACACGCTTCATCATTCATCTAATGGCTGATCACTCACTCTACGTTGTAGTTTTCATATTTATAAAATAAACTTTTAATGTTTTATACATTCTACGTTTAATTATTGCTTACTTTTTCGTTACCACCGTATCAAGATGCGCTGGAACCGCAAGGTACGTTACTGCATTCGTTATACTTATTATGTCTGCTCCAACCTGTTACCCGGTCACCCTTTCATATATCTTTATCTCCTTCCCACATGTTTTAGTTCTTAATTACCCATCCTTTTCAGCAATCTCGGGTCAGGCTGGAGCGCATTACCATAATGATACTTAAACACATATTTAAGTAAAGATTCTTTTTTGCGTAAAAAGTTACGTCTGCGTACACACTTTTGCAGACAAGTTCAAAGGAAATTATTATTAGTAATATGGAGCAATGTAAGGTTGAAAAGACTTAGTGCTTGCACTGTATTTTCATTATTTATTTTTGAATACTGGACAATCAGGCATGTCATCGACGTGGTTGTAAACTGTAAATAAAAAAAATGGATTTGTATTAAAAAACATTTAATAAAAATATAAATATAATATTTTATTCGTGCTAGATGGCGCATTGGCAGAAAGGCTTTTGCCAAACAGTTGATTATAGAAGTGCTGTTATTAATTATGATGAAGGTTCTAAATACAATAAAAATACGAATACTGTGAAAATGAAAAAAAAATTGTTATATATAACAAATTTTATTTTTTATCCAAATTTTTAGTCAATTTTTAATAGAAATTCTAAATGAGTTAAAATGGTAAGTAGTAATAATTTAATTAATTAAATTATAATAATTTTGAGTGATTGCAATTTTAATATAGGTACTCGTACATGCCGTCATAAACACTTTTTGAGTGTTTGAGTGTACAGTACGGTGTAAAAACACGCTAAAAATTTTAACATCAAGCGTCAAAGACACTTAAAATTTTATCATTAAGTGTCAAAGATATAGATAAGGTTGTTTGACGCTGCTTTCTGTTGCTAGTCACTGTTCTCGGAGGCTAGAGGCTTTTTCAAACTCCCCATAGTCGCCTCTTTCGAGAACCTCAGGACGATGCTTCAGTAGATTTCTTCCCACTGTCACTTCACGGAAAGATGAGGAAATATGTGTAAATAATAAATACCCACAATTATCATTTTATCTAGAAAGTATACTATATTAAAGTCAAATAAATAATCTAATTAGTACTATAAACGTGAACGCGTGTTTGTTTGAATGTATGTTCTATAACAACGCTTGCATGGCAAGACAGATTGCAATTTGACATAAAATTTGTTTACAAGTAATAGATGTTTTATCTCACGATGGAATCCGCCTGACTTTGCTGTTTAGCAGAGAATTCATTAATTATTTTCAAATTTTTTCTCACACTTTTTGCAAATCAATTTTGTCCGTTATGATGATTTCTTATATTAATGAACACTAAATAATAAAATAAACTAATTTTACGGATTTTATGGCGTTTAATTTTAACTTTTTTTAAATCCGACGTTTCGGATGCTTTACAACACTCATCGAGAAGGACTTTTAACTGTTGTCTTTTGTTAATTTCTATTACTATCACTTTTATAAGTGGTAGAGCCATGCTGCAGCTATTTTATGGTTGTAGCACGAATAGGTTGGGTAGATTGGGAAAGGACCAGACCCTCACGAAATACCAGCGTATAATAGCAGCTTAATGCTGTTGTATTTTGTATCGGAGACTTTTTACTGGAAACGAGGCATTCCATCTTAGCATTGAGGGGCAAAGACGCATCTGAATTTAGAAGATTAGTAATAAAGAAATGCGTTCCAAAAGCAAGATATAAGTCTATGACGGCCTTCCGTGTTTGTAAACTGAAGTGGCAATGGGTTGAATACATTTGTCCCATGCTGCAGCTATATTAGTAGTATAGTTGTAGCACGAATGGGTCGGCTCGACCGGTGAAAGACCACGCTCTCACAGAATACCAGCGTAAAATAGCAACTTAAAACAGCTGTGTTTCGTATGGTGAGTGTAGAGAACCGGAGACCCTTTTTACTGGAAAAGAGGCATTCCATCTTAGTCCTCACGGGTGACAACGCATCTGCATTTTGATTCGCAAACGAGGATAGATGTAGATGTCTATGGGCCACAGCAAACACCATCAGGTGGACTGCGTGCTCGTTTGTCACCCTACCCTATAAAAAAAAAACTGTTGAAGATGGTGTGTCATAGAGTGGATACCGCGTTTAAGTAAGTTTTACTGTGAGAAAGCTCCTAGCTAGACGGAGCAATAATTTGTGCAAGGAGGCTTGGATCAACTGCATGCATAAAGCCGAAGATTGATCTCTAATAACGTAACTTGGGATTCCGAGTTCAGCACGCTGATGATGATTAAGCAGGCGAGTAACAGCTAGTAAATGATCTATTTTTACCTTCATTTGTATCGCAGGCGTATTCTAGTAAGTCGCACAAATCCATGAAAGTTCTTTTCTTCTCACCGTTGGTGCCACATATGGGAATAGTATCGTGGATACATGTCTCGGCAAGTTGACAGAATTGATCAATTTTGTTCTGAAAATTATATAAATTCCTAGTTTTATACTGTTTATTTTATAGGATACAATGTTTATAGGAAAATGCAATCAGGTTAGTGCATCGCGTGCAGGTAAAATTGATACCCGCAGAAAAAATTTGCAGATTCCTTTTTAATAGAATCCATATAAATTAATAAATAAAGGCATTTATTAATAAACATCAAAAGAGTTTCGATAGTAAAATAATAGGCGTTTATTGAGATCGATAAAGAAATTTATTATGTGTAATATATTTAAACTATTTGGGTGTTCTTGGACTCAACTATAGGTACATAGATTATTATCAAAGAAATCTATCTTAGAAAAGGTTATCCATCTTACCGATGGTGTCACCGCGTTTTCCGGGAGATGAGTTTTCCCCGGTGTTAGTAAATGTATTACAATACCTGGAACGCAGATTAAATTAAAAATATAGATATCATATTCAAATAATGTATGGTATAAGTTGGTAAAGTGTCGCGGCGGGGTAAAATGATAAATTACTTCATCATTTAATCCCTTGGTTACCTTTTACGACGATAAAGGAAAGAGAAATAGGAAATAGGCAGTAACAACTTCCTGATAAGTTGTTATTAGTTGAGTTGTTAACAACAATAAACAATTGAGGTATCTAACATGCCTGTAAAGCGTACCTAATATCCGCCCTATGAGGCAATTTATGGGGGAGACTTTACGTTCAGCAGTGAAATTTTGACATGTACATGAATGAATTATGAATTGATGTTGTAAATAAAATATAAGTCACAGGTTACGTTGTAGTAATTGTGTAGATAATACTAACACTAAATTGACCTATAGTATTATTTTTTCCCTTATTTCTTTACGTGTTTCTACCCAATAGGATCGTAAGTTTTGGAAATACTAATAAATTATGCTTTAAAATATTACAAATTTAACATAAAATGTTTTGCAGTTCAATAATCTAAGATTGAATAAATAAATCAAAAGTCTTCATTCATCAGGACGCTATAAAGTATTTTCGAAACAACGGGTTCTGCTGGGTATAGACACATTAGACACATGATTTTTTATGATGGATTTGCATTAGAGATCAAGGGCCAAAAATAGCTATGAGTAATGAGGCATTATAATATGCTTATCAATACTCACTAATATAATTTCATCAATACTAACTTACTAATATAATTTGTTCATGATACACGAAAAGAAATGTAAGTGCTATTATCGACTAGTCACTTTGTACATAACAATTGTACGAGTACTCGTATTTTAATAAATACGGTGATAAAAATAAATTACGGAATTGAAAATCTTTGCAAATTATATACGAATATATATATATATATATATATATATATATATATATATATATATATATATATAATGTAAATGGTACGCTAATATCGATTGACTCGTAATATTCATACATAGACATAGACATCATAGAATTTGAATGCTAATTTATTCGAAATCGTATTTAACATTTAGATTGCGCAGATGCAAGTGTAAAAGTTATTTACTCACAATAAATCGCGATGTTCATCCACATCCCGATGTGGTATTGATCTAATAAATGATAATATCCGATACGGTCGTATTGTGGTCTGTTGTTGGGTTCAATTCATACGTTTGTTTGACATAGTGCGAATAGCGCAGAGGTTGCCAACCTTTTGTGTTAATATAATGTCATTTAAATTTTTCAAGTTTTGTAAATTTCTACGATAAATATAAATTACTCTTATACGTTCTCAGTTTTCATGATTTGTGATGATCGCAGGTGCTTCGCTTCTCAGACGCTTTACACTATAATCGGTATAAATATTTGGTTTCGCTATTAAGAGACTGATACGTGATTGAATCCGTAATATTTTACTCGTACTTTCCTTGGTCGACAGGAAAATCTATTCTGAAATTCTACAACTACCGTGATACCCCGCGATATCCACGGTGTGGTGTAAGAATATTCATTATCCCATTTCGTCGCCTAGTTGTTGTGAAAGGCGTTAGAGTCAAACTGAAACAAGAGATGGGCAGCAGCATCTTGCTGATAACGATACAAAATAATAAAAAAAACTGCGGCTGGTAACCCCCTTGCCAAGCTTGGTAACTATGGCAAAATCCCCTGTATGAGGCTATCTATAGGAGAATGGATTTTAATTGACTGTAATGGATGGTTGGATGAAAGTCATACGACAATATAGGTTTTGCTTTGTGAGAAACATGAACTCTTGGGATTTTCTATTATATTTTTTATCTTATTTAATTTGACGTTATTCGTACAAAATATCACATCACATCACCAGGACATGTGTTAAACAAAGGCCAGCTAGAAAAGTAACTTCATATTTCTAATAAAATTATATAATATGTCATTTTTTTTTTAGAATAAGGGTGACAAGCGAGCACACAGTCCACCTGATGGTAAGTGGTTGCTGCGGCCCATAGACATCTACATCTATCCTCTATTACAAATCAAAATGTAGATGCGTTGTCACCCGTGAGGACTAAGATGGAATGCCTCATTTCCAGTAAAAAGGGCCTCCGGCCACCTGCACTCACCAATCGAAACGCCTCTGCGTTTAAACTCTACTTCACGCTGGTTTTCTGTGAGGTCGTGGTACCACCCCGGTTCGAGCCGGCCCATCCGTGCGACAGCAAAAGCAGCCGCGTGGCTCTACGACTGTTAAAAATAAAACTTCTGTAATAGCAAAAAATGTTGACGATCATGGTTCACTAATAGTTTATGTTCTAGATAGCTTTCGCATAAAGCGTGTGTTATATCATAATTTCCTGTCCTACAGTCCTAGCTATGGTTGATTATTGTAAACAATTTTAACCTTACTCCTTAATTATATCAAAGTTGTACGTTGCTGGAACAACACGTGTAAAAACTATGATATTTAGAACAATTTTTTCTAGTAAGCATACAAAATAGATCAAATAAAATGACTTACAAAATACAATTAATAAAGAACGTTTTTTTAGGTTTAATCATATTAGGCTTTGCAGAAAAGGTCTGGGCACACGTTGAAATAGAAGCCGAAGATTATTTCTTTCCTTTAGAACCTGTAAGTTGATTGTATTCAATTATTATTTTTATTTTTAGCTTAAAGTAATAAACACTTTGTTATTTTTAATAATACATTCGAAATAGTGTTTAAATATAAATTTTCGATAATTAACAAAAATAATTTGGTTTTTAATGTTGATTGTAAAATTATGTTTGTTTTTACAGGTAATAAATTTTTGCAAAATGGCGGATCAGTGTCAACATGATTTCGTTGCGATTTGTGGGCAGGATTCCCTTGGTATATCGCGGATGTTCAATGATAATTGTGATCTATACGAATACAATTGTGATGAGAAAAAACGTAAGTTCTATAGTAGTTATATCTATACAAACCCAAATACTTAATTATGAAGTGAAAATTTGACAAGCCAATAATTGACATCAATCCCACCTGGTGGTATGCAGTAACTTAGCATAAAAAAGTCGAAAGTATTTTTCGTAAAAGTCTTGGTTGCAAAGCAAATAACTCATTGAGCCACGGCTCCGTGGCGCAGTGACTTGGCAATGAGTTGATGCGCTGGGGGCCGCGGGTTCGAATCCCGCACGGACCAAATATTTGTATGGCCTACAAATAATTGTTCCGGGTCTGGATGTTTGACCACGTGCAATTTATGTTTTTAAACTGCCTCCACGATACAGGAGAAAATCCTAGTGTGGAGGTAACGTTTTTCAAAAAAAGAAGAATTCTGTAACCTACATTTCAAGAAATTTTATTTCAAAATGTTGGTACATATAAGACACTGAACATTTTTACAAAACACATAGTTATTCCGATTTAATTCCAAAAAATTAACATTAAGGTTCATTCTTGTATCCTTTAAAAATTATTGAAACATACACCGACTTCATCATTATTGGGATCTTTAATTTTCAGCCGATTTCAAGTCTACTGTTGAATAAGGCTACTAACTAACCTACTAGACCTCTCACACAGGTTGCCGCATAAATGTCCCTTCAACCAAAGGCAGCTCCCTCATCTCATCGTCACTCCATTCCTCTTACATTGTGTTTGCTACGCACGAGCCTGTAACTTGAGAACTGTTCTCCTCAATGAGTTGCAATGCTATAATTCCATTGTTACTTGATCATCTTTCATATCAGGCAATGAAAGGTATATAATTATAAGGTGAATAGGCTGGACCACTCCCGTTGTAGAGATAACTTGCGAACTTGTGTAATGTTGAGGTGTTAAATGAAAAAGCAGATGTGGTGCTCAGTTTGAGATTTTAGTTACACTGCCTAAAGTTATTCTACCTTAACAGTAATATATACTGTCATGGGGGCTACACTACAGTTGCGATCTTTATCCTCTTTCTTTTCTTCTACTGTGCCCTCTTAAATGGTATGTATTTAGTAAAATATGGTAAGTAGTAATCACGTCGTTTGGAAGACGGATTATCGGTCGCAATATATACGTTATACACCTTTAATGCTAATGAACATTGTAGGGTTAGGTACTATATATATTTACTGCATATATGAAATATAGATTTTTACGCATGTTCTTTGGAGATTAATAGATCTTTTTGGGAGTTACCACAGTTGCCTCTTACGAAATCTTCGAGAAATAAATGGAATATTGGACTCTTAAATCCCCTCTAAGCGACTAAATATCCAATCATTTAAGTAACATATTAAGTAATACTATCACATTTATAAATTTCATTGTTTAATCTGATACTAATCCTATTTTATTTTCAGAATATCGTCACGTCAAAATGGACGTGTGTAAATATGAAATTGCTGTAGCAGAATAATTATACACACATATAGTTTTGTGATTTATGATAATACATAGTTTTAAGGAAACTAGTGTTTTAATTGTTGAAATTTATTATCATCATCCTTATCATCATTTAGCCCATCACATGTCCATTGCTGAAAATAGGCCTTCCGCAAGGAATGCTAAAGCCACTTGTATCTCTCACCATTCCATCACTCCATCTATTGGGGGCTAACCTAAACTTCGCCCATCGGTACAAAGCTGGCATTCGAGAATCTTTCTTCCCCATCGGTGGTCGGTTCTTCGAGCTATACATATAGCCCACTGCCACTTCAGCTTACTGATCCGTTGCGCTATGTTAGTTACTTTGATTTTACGTATATCCTAATTACGTAGTTCTCTGGGTGATTGTAGTAGTATTATTACCTACAATTGTCTCTGGCACCCAGGGTTGACTGGCCGAGAATGCCATATGGTATTAAGTCCGCCCTATGTACCCTTTACCTTAAGGTGTTACATTTAAGTTTTTAAATAAAAAATAAATAAATAGTATAGAACTATTAATGTTAGTAGTAAACATAGCCTATAAGATAGACTTATGCCGATGAATCTTTCGATCGACTTCGTCACTGTAATGATGGAGTGAAGTGCTAGCCCTATTCTACGCTTGTTGTTACGAATATTCCTCTACATAACTTTTATTTGCGAACGTATACATATTTTCAAATAATTAACTAGCTGTGACTAACACATCTTTTTTGGCATTTTTAACTAAGCTACTGACGACGTACTTACAAGACGTTTTGTCAAAGATTTGTATTTTTATTATGCTGATGTCATTTTCCAGTTTGTGGAATTTGGATTTTTTATATTTCGAAGGAACTAACATTTATTCGAAAGAACCTCGTCTGATAAACAGAAGATTTTAAATATTATTCAAATTATTATACGATCTTTGCATACCTGTAGAAAAGGTTAGAATTTCTTTTAAGAAAAGGTCAAATTGGCAGACAGTTAGCATTAAAAGAGCGTGTTAAACTAAAAGATACTTATATCAAAAAATACTGAAATATAAGAAAAACGAATTAATACCGTATTATAAGAAATACTGCAAAATATTAAAATCCGTAACACGTTTAGCAAAACAAAAAACAAATATAAAATTCATTAAAAATAGTAACAACAAAAATAAAGCTACATGGTACTTAATAAGAAAGCAAACCACTTCACAAAACATATTCAAAACAACTATTAAAAATGTGACCATTGATAATACTAATATCACGGATGCAGGGGCTATAGCAGAAGTTTTTAACACTTATTTTGCTACCATTAACACTCAAACACAAGCCACAGATACCTACCCTCTACCATCTACACATCTACATAGCATATATTTATCACCCGTTGACGCAAATGAATTGAAAAAAATAATCACAAACCTGAAAAATAAAAAGAGTTGCGGCTATGACAATATATCGATCCAAATTATTAAAAAATCCATAGAGTATATTAGTGAGCCGCTTGTTTATTTACTTAACTTAATGATAGAAACTGGTACCTTTCCACATGAATTAAAAACAGCAAAAATCAAACCTTTGTTCAAAAAAGGTTCAAAATGTAATATCAAAGACTATAGGCCCATAGCTCTTTTATCCAACTTCTCAAAAATATTTGAAAGAATCATCTACGATAGGATTATAGAGTTTTTCAAAAAATATAGTATAATAAATAAAAATCAATTTGGTTTTCAGAAAAATAAATCCACTACACTTGCAATGTATGAAATACTTAAGGAAATTTGGGAATCTTTAAATAATAAAACTTCTTGTGTAGGTTTGTTTTTAGATATGTCAAGGGCATTTGACTGTGTAATATACGATGTACTATTAAATAAACTTGACAAATTAGGTATACGTGGTTTGGCATTAAAACTGTTAGAAAGCTATTTAAAAAATAGAGAACAACTCACAGCTATTGAAAAATTTGACAAAATCAGTAAAACTTTCGAAGAAGTACAGTCCAAGCCAGTTAAAATGACACTAGGTTTGCCACAGGGGAGTATTTTGGGCCCTCTGTTATTCTTAGTTTATGTGAATGACTTGCCAAATGTCACTGACAATAGATGTGTTATGTTTGCTGATGATGCAACTATCTTTATACCCGATACTCAAATGAATTTTGAAAATAACATAAATAAAACCTTAAAAATAGCAGTCGAATGGCTTAATAAAATTAATTTAAACGTAAATCTAACAAAAACCAAAATTATTCAATTCAGAAATTACAAAACAAAATCTTTAAATTTAAATATTGCAGATAAAGACACCCAAATAGAAACAGTTGATAACATTAATTTTCTTGGAGTCACCATAGACTGTCATTTAAACTGGAAATCCCACATTGAAAAAATAAACAAAAAAATATCTAGCTATAGTTACGCATTATCCATATTAGCAGAAACAACTTCCGTTGATGTATCAAGGGCTGCATACTTCGGCCAGGTATACCCTCTATTAGTTTACGGCATTATTTTCTGGGGTAATTCTACAAACGTGCAGTCAACATTTATTCTACAAAAGCGATGTCTGAGAATCATTTATAACATGTACTCAGACGAAACTCTAAGAAATGTATTCAAAGAAAAAGGTTATCTCACTCTTACTAATATTAACATTTTAGAAATTTCAATTTTTATCAAACAGAATAACAAATATTTTCAGATTAAATCAAACTTGAATTCACGTCCAATACGTAGTCAATATAAGAACCATTTATGTACACCTAAAATTAATAATTACATGTATTATAAGAGCACTTTTTGTACAGGTATTAAAATATTCAATCATCTGCCACCTAATATAAAAGCTATGGACTTGCCAAGATTTAAAATACACCTCAAGAAGTGGTTAATATATAATGTGTTTTATAATTTAAATGAATATTTTAATACCAAACATTAATTTATATAAAGTTTTATTTCTTAATTATTGCATACCCGATATGGGTAAACTGTGTAACATTTAATTGCAATGTCACCCGCAAATTGTACATACACAGCTTATTGGCAATAAATATTCTGATACAATCTGATAAAAAAAAAAAAAAAAAAATAATTACGTCAGCGGTGGGAAGGAGCATCAAGGGTGTTATTCTTATATAAGTGTGACGAAGCACACAATCCACCTGATGGTAAATGGATAAACTAATCAAAAATAAAATGCAGATTTTGTTTATAAATTGGCTGAAAACTAGCCCACAGCCCACCTGGTGGTAAGTGAATGCTGTGGCCCATAGACATTTATATTTATTTTCGATTAAGAATGCAGATGCGTGGTCTCTCTTGAGAACTACGACAGAACACACTTTTCACAGCAGCATTAGGCTGCTATTTTACGCTGATATTCTATGGGAGCGTGATTCTTCCCCGGTCCAGCCGACCCATTCGTGCTGCAACCATAACTTAGCTGCTGCGTGGCTCTACCACGTACAGATGCGTTGTCACCCCTGAACCTTTACCAGTAAAAAGGATGTTTATTTCTCGTCACTTTGTATGAAACACATCAGTATTAATACGTTGTTTAACACCGTATTCCCCGGTTCGTCCTACTCCGGTCGAGTTAACCTATTTCACAATCATAGCACACTGCAGAAAGAGTGGTGTTTAAAGCATAGCTTTCTTACAGTGGATAAGAACCAGAAGAAGAGGAAGAAAGGGAGATCTTTACTTTATTTGCATTCGCAAATACACTTTCACGCTTCCTACATAATTTTTATATCCGTTTTCCAAGAAAGCCATCGTAAAGAAAAGTTTGGCGTTAAACAGCAAATATATATGTGCATAAATCATCTCATTTACAGAATTGTCTACAAATACCGAGCCACGGTAAACAGCAACAGTTCGTAAGTAAACTTCACAACCTGACGTCATGAACAAATATGCAGCCACTGTTACATATTCTTCGAATTTCTTGAGTGGAAAATGTAGCGCTGAACTCAGAATATTTACTATTTAACTATTAATTTGAAAATGAAGTTGTTGCCACTTGCGACTGCAAATTTATTTTAGAACTTTTACTATGTAAGCCGAGCCGAGAAGAAACTGCACGCTAAAGAAATTACTTATAAAATAAAAATAAAAAAATTAGATTGCGTGCACACTCATAAAATATTTTTAATATAGTTTTTAATTAAAGAAAATTCAATATATACTAAACCAAAAAGAAAATTGAAAATTATGCTATTTTATTTTGGATATTATACCATCATCCCATCGGGTTTAAGTTTTATTGCAGTCCTATCAGAAGTGATTTGAGAGATAGACCATTGTAATTTTGTAATTTTTAGCTAATTTTATCGATATGAACGTCATATTTTAAAGTGATTTGAGAGATAGACCATTGTAATTTTGTAATTTTTAGCTAATTTTATCGATATGAACGTCATATTTTATTTTTCGGCTCCTCCTTCATTTGACGGCTCCGTGGCGCAGTGACTTGGCAATGAGTTGTTGCGCTGGGAGCCGCGGGTTCGAATCCCGCACGGAACAAGTATTTGTATGGCTTACAAATAATTGTTTCGGGTCTGGATGTTTGTCCTCGTGCAATCTATGTTTGTGAACTGCCTCCACGATACAGGAAAAAATGCTAGTGTGGGGGTAACGTTCTTTAAAGATAAAAAAAAATAAAAAATAAATAAAGAAATAAATATAAAACATTCACACGTCAATATGAGAAATGCCATAAACTAAATGAGAGTAGGTCTTTATATATTAATAACTTTTTCCTTTATTATTTAGGATGTAGCGTAGAATAATAAAAATATAATTCTATTTACGCCAGGCGTAAAACATATAGATCAGCGACGTGAAGCAGTGTTAAAGGTGCAAGACGTAAGCGATTGTCAGTACATGATGATGAAGAAGAGACAATTATGTTCCTTCATACTTTTAAAGATATTTGCTTAAATTATATAGCAATTAGTGATTATATAGTTTTATCTCAGGCAACGTAAGAGACACTACCTTATATTGAA